GACCGCCGGGGGGCGGCGCTCGAGGTTTTCGCACATCTTCGTCGGCTCCCCGAGGGTCTCCTGTCTCGGGATGCGATCCAGCAGCTGCGCCTCGCCGAGAGCGTTCTGGGCGTGCCCAGATCTTCCCGAACGGCCGCCAGAGGCCGGGCTCGTGACCCGAGAGCCGCCAGGAGGCTTTCCTGACCTCCTCGCGGTGCAGCAACAGCATCTGGCGAGGAGGAGGAGGAGGAGGAGGAGGAGGAGGAGGAGGAGGAGGAGGAGGAGGAGGAGGAGGAGGAGGAGGAGGAGGAGGAGAGTGATTTGGTGGAAGGAGGAGGAGGAGGAGGAGGAGGAGGAGGAGGAGGAGGAAGAGGAGGAGGAGGAGGAAGAGGAGGAGGGGCTTCTTGGCTGTCTTCGGTCTCTTCGGTGGCCCTTGACGTGGCCCAGGGTCCGGGGCGGGATTCGATCCAGAACCACGGCCTGGGGGGTCGAATCTTCCCGGACCTCCACGGGCGGTGGATACAGTGGAGGCCCATGCCAAGAATTGAAGACGAAAAACACGCCATGAACAGAAGCTTTTGGCGCTCCGCGCGGATTTCTTGGATCCGCGCTGGGCCCCCCTCCCCGGCGGCGCTTCCGACGCCGCCCCTGGCGCGTTGGGCGCGCCAGGGAGGGGGGTCTGGCGCCGATCCGAGAAATCCGCGCGGACCTCTGAGTTCTTCTGTTGATGTCATTGCTCGTTCCCCCAGTGGGCGCCCCTGCCAAAGTGCACCCTGCCCGCCTCCAGTGTGCCCTGGGTTCTGTGGGTTTCGACGGTGCTGCTGCGGAGGATGAGGCGTTCCCGCACGTGAATCGGGCCGGACGAAAGGGGGGGATTGGGAAAGGGGGGGTTACGAAATTTGCTGCATGCAGCTGGTTTCGGCCTCACCGAGGGGCCCATTCCTCGATACATAGCCGCCTCCGGCGCCGGGAGGCGCCGGGAAAATCAGCTATGTGAGCTGATTCTCCCCCCCCCCCTTTGCTATCCCCCCCTTTCGCCCGACCCGAGTGAATGGACGTCCCGGGGTCTCAGGGTTGGGTTTCTCGTGGAAGGTTTCTTGTGGACTAGCCTCCACTGCATTCGGCCCCTCGAGGGGCCTGTCATGTCCAGATTCGTCGCCCGATGGGGCACCGGGCGGTGGATGTATGATACATCCCCGCCTCGCACAGGGGCCGTCAGATGACGACATGGAGACGACACGCTTTGGACGGGGCCAGGACGAGGGTACAGAGCCGTTTTTCATACATGCTCCGCGTGCGGATCATGTATTAAACATGCAGGGATTTAGTATTAAAAACAACGAGGAGTTCATGCATAAGTTTATTCATGAATGAGTCATGTATCAAAAATCATTTTTTTGTATAAAAAATCCCATGTGTTATAAACTGCCCTGTAAATCCGTTCCTCTAGGCCTCCTAGATGGGGTCGGAGTAGATGGCCGGAGGATCGCGCCGCATCGCGGATGCATCGACGATGCGGCCCGATGTGGAGCCCATGCCTCCCGACGATTTTCTGCGCGCTGGCGTCGCCGATGCACCGCCGTCGTCGCTGCCATATTGTAGCATCGCTGGCACTCGCTTGCGTGCTTGGGGGGGCATTTTGGGGGCCTCCTCGGGCCGCTTGGGGGCCTCTTGGGGGTCTCCTGAGGGGTCTCGTGGGGGCATCTTAGGGCCTCTTGGGGGCCTCCTGGACCTCTTGGGAGCCTTTCGGGGGCCTCTTTGGCGCTCCCTGGGGCCTCTCGGCGCCGAGGGCTTGAAATATCCGTGCGGGTCTCCCGTGTGGACCCCCTCTTGGAGCCGTCTTGGGGGCCTCTTGGGCTGTCTTGGAGGCCTCTTGGGTGGTCTTGGGGCCCTCTGGGGCGGTTTTTGGGCCCTCTTGGGGGCCTCTTGGGCCGTCTTGGGGCGATCTTGGGGGCCTTTTGGGTTGCTTTTGAGGTTGTGACAGCTTAAATGGCGAATCTGCTAAAAATATACATGTTTTGCTTCGAGAATCGGACGACTTTTGCCTCTTGGGGCCGTCTTGGGACGCCTCTAGGGGGCCTTTTGGGGCGTCTGGGAGCCGTCTTCGTCTTGGGCGTCTTGGAGCGAGCGTGTGGCATCTCGGAGCACTCTTGAACCATCTTGCGGTGCTCTTGGCGGCCTCGCGGCCCTTCTTGGGGCTCTTTGGAGGGCCTCGAGGGCGGCGCCCAGGAGGAAAACCATCTCTGGGTCGGACCGCCCGGGACCTGCCCGGGACCTTGCCGGGGTACTGTTCGTCCGGGGATCCCCAGGGGCCGCCTCGCGCGCGCGAACTAGAAATATTGTTAACCAGTTACCAGAGATCTTAACACGCCTCTGGCACGTTGGGCCGGCGAATTTCATCCCTATCCTGGCTTCGTCTTTAAAGCTGGTCCCAGGGAAGTGACCCAGACTTCTGGCTGTCGCTCGTTTCCAGAGAATCAGGACGTCGGAGGTTTGGGTCCGCCGTCCTCCTCCTCCTCCTCCTCCTCCTCCTCCTCCTGCTCCTTCGCCTTCTCGTATTCAGAGGATGAGGAGGCGGAGGAGGAGGAGAAGGATGATGATGAGGAGGAGGAGCAGGAGGAGGAGGAGGAGCAGGAACAGGAGGAGGACGAGGAGGGCGAGGAGGAGGAGGAGGAAGATGAGCAGGAGGAGGAGGAGGAGGAGGAGGAGGAGGAGGAGGAGGAGGAGGAGGAGGAGGAGACCAGGAGCAGGAGGAGGAGGAGGAGGAGGAGGAGGAGCAGAAAGTTCCCCAGGTCCTAAGATGGGGTCCTCGTTATTAGATGCCTCTGGACCTTCCCTCACTCACTCCTCCTCCTCCTCCTCTCCTTTCTCACTCAGATCACTCACTTATTTATATCCAGATCACCCACACCGAACTTATACTCACATACACTCTTCTCCCTCCCTGACTCGCATCACACTCGAACTCACTCATATTCGGAATCACTCCTGCCCAGACACATTCATCACTTTTCCTCACTCAGGCTCAGTCACAACATTCATCACACTCAAACTCGCTCATACCCTGAACCTCTCGTAGTCAGACTCATTCACGCTCAGCGCCACTCTTCATCACTCAGATTCAGTGATACCATGCTTCTCTCTTTCACATATATATACATATGCGCTCAGACTCACTCGCGTGAAGACTCACTCACACTCAGCTTCACTCATACTCACTCACGCTCAGACTCTTTCCTTATGTTTATTCCATATCCTAAGGTGGGGTTATCGTTCTTACTTAGACGCCTCCAGACCTCATTTCTCCGACAATATCTTTCATACCATTCAGATGCCCATACTCAGATCACTCACCACAGACCAACTCTTCTTCGCGGGTTTCATCGTAGACCCACTCTTCCCCACGCAGATTCAGCCACACCACTTCCTCACGCAGACCCACTCAGGCTCACTCAGACTCAGACTCATTCAGACTCAGACCCACTCTCAGGGAATTAGCCTCAGGCGCCCTCTCACTCATTCACATTCAGACTCTGCCGCTCCGACACGCTCTTCCTCACCCAGACTCAGCTCCGATGTTTCTGGGTGTCCACTGCCCACCGCGATCTAGCAGACGTGGCATTCTGGCACCCCAGTGGGGGAGCCGCCGCGGGGGAGGACCCTCCGGGATTCGCGCCCAGATTGTGGGTACTTGTCAGGCGGTTTGCCTGTTTCGGCCCCCTGCCAAGAGTCGGCTTGAGCACGGCGCCCGAGGCTGCAGCCGCTACAATTCGGGCGAAGAGAACTATGCACATGCACCGATCCTGGCAAGGCCCATTTTTGACCCAGGATCGGTGCATATGCCTTCCTGGCCAAGGTAGGAGGGCGTATGCACCGATCCTGGGCTCAGGATGGGCCTGGCCAGAATCGGTGCATGTGCATAGTTCTTTTCCCTCTAACAATGGCAGCGGCTGCGCAGGCAAGAGATGTCTGAGCGCGGGGCCGCTTGGCCGGGAGACATTCGTCCGACACTGCCCGCAGATCTGGGAGCTCTGTGCGCATGTCTTGGTACCCTCGGCGGGTCCATCTGCTAAGACTGTTCGCTCTTTACGTGGGCGCCCAACGCCATCGAAGGCGCGCGCGCTCGCTTGTGCTGCGTTGTGCGCGGGCACAAATTTCGCGCCCGCGCCTGGCCCGCGCGCAGGCGGGCGAGCAGGGCGCGCGGGCCGCCTCCCGCCTGCGCCTCGCGGCGCGCGGCCCCACGAGAAGGGCCCGCGCGCGCGAGGGGGGCGACAGCATGTGCCTCGCGGCGCGCGGCCCCACGCGAAGGGCCCGCGCGCGCGAGGGGGGCGGCGGCATGTGCCTCGCGGCGCGCGGCCCCACGCGAAGGGCCCGCGCGCGCGAGGGGGAAGCGACGTCATGCGCGTTGCTCGTTTGCTCTTCTGCTCGCTTCGCGTCGAACGCCCCGTGCAGGCGCGCCGCGGGGATCGCGTCGGGGCGGATCGCGGCGCGCCTCGGGGTCGTGCGGTGTGCAGGCATTGGTGCTTGCATCTTGCAGGCATGTGCGCTTGCGTCCCGCCGTGGCGGGCGGCGCGCGCGCTTTCGCATCCGTGGCTGCCCGTCGTGTCGTGGCTGCTTGTCTGGTCGTGTCTTGGCTGCTGTCGTGGCACGTTGGTCGCCGTGTCGTGGCCGCTTGTCGTGGCTGCCTTCCTGGCTGCTCTGCCTCCTGTCGTGGTCGTCTGGCTGGTCGTGTCGCGGCTGTCTGTCGGTGCGTCGTGGGTGTCGCGTCGTGGCTTCTCGCCGTCGTGTCGGGGCGGTCTGGCTTGTCGTTCGCCGCCGCGCGCGCGCGCGCCGGTCGCCGCTCTCTTCTCCCCGTGCAGGTTCTTTCCTCGCTCCCTCCTCCGCCAGGCGCAGGTACTTCCATCTTCCTCTTCGACGAGATCCCCTCGTCTGTTTTGCTGGCTCGATCGAGGTCAGGACTACCCTTTTCTGGCGTTGGCTGGCCCGCGCTCTGGCTCCGCTCTCGCGCGGTCTCTCGGCTG